CCCGAATTTACTAAGTTTTTATCATTTATGAAAATAGAGCAAAGCGTAAAAGAATTTAATTAAAATTTTTATATCCAAACATGAATTGCATGAAATTTCATCCCAAAAACCCTAATTATCCAGATTTTAAAATAAAACTTTGTGTTAAAGTGGAAGAATTATAAAATTTTGAAATTTAGATATCTCCAAAAATTATGGATTTACGAGAAAATATCGGAAGATATTGTTTTATAGTTGAGAAAATTGTCTAAAAATAGGAATCACTTAAATTCAAGACATTAATGGCATTCCTTTAGAGCCATTAACCAAGTTGGACTTGGTTACTAAATAAAACCATGGAATATAAACATTAGATTTAAAAATTGTACATGTATTATTTTTTTGTTTTGAAAAATAATGAAAAATCAAAAAGTCTTTGCAATCGGCCACAACTTAAAATTTTTTATCATTCATAAAAATGAAGAAATAAGTGGAAGATATATTCTCAATTCAATTTTCATAACCAGAAGTATAAAAATTTCATGCGAAAGGCTAATTATTAAAGAGATCTAAATGTAAAACGTTGATTTGAAGTGGAAAAACTAGCCAATTTTGAAGTTCAATCCCGACTATTCCAATATATCTCCAAAAATGATGGATTTAGGAGAAAACGTCAGAATAGTATATTTCAGCACGTGTGGGGCAATTTCGTCTTTAACGTGTGTGGGGTTTACAGCATGAGCCGAAGGCGAGTGATGTAACCACACACGTTAAGGACGAAATTTCCCAACAAGTACTGAACAAAATTTTATGTCACGAAGCCTGAAACCGGCTGAATTAGACACGAGACGCGAAGCGTCGAGTGTGTAATCCAGCCGGTTTCAGGCATGAGTGGCATAAAATACTTTCTGTAACTGAGAAAATTCTCTACGAGAAACGTCCTTACACTTTTTTTCTGTAACCCATTAATTTTGGAGGTATTTAACAAAGAATCTAGAGTTGATTTTCTGAATTGTCGAGTTTTATCAGTTTCTCATTTTTTAAGAACCGAGCACTGAAAATAATGAATTCTTTCCAGGAAATCAATCAATGGCGATCGCAACGGAGGTTCTTAAGATCTCACTCATCAATTGAAGACGCATTTTCACTAAGAAATTTAGTTTTCGTTCTCGTATTGTTTAAAAGCTTGAAATACAAACTTACCTCTAATTTTCATGAACTCCTTTATAATTTTTCTCTTTCAATTCACGAATTGTAATCTTTGTCATTGTAACGACGTTAGGAGTTTGTTATTGAACACGAGATCTAATTGAATCAAATGTAACAGCTGTAATTGAAGTTCAATAAACAACTTTTGACATGAATCAACGATTTTCTCTAATTTCAACTGAACATGCAATTCTAATTATAGCTGCAGCAATTTCAATTTATTTGATTCAACTCATACCTCACGAGGATGGACATTGACAGAATGTCCCACAGATCAATATGAACATTTCCAATCTCTTAGTCAAATATTATCCTGACTTAGACCAGTTGTATGACTCATTCGGGCTCTCTTTTGGATTTTCTAGGAAGTTATCAACGACGACACATCCTCCTGTACTTCCTCTCCAATAATTTATTAATAAACCGCCTCAATCTGTTTAATTAATTGTGTTTATGTCCCACTCATTTTACTGGAGACAATAATATTGTTGCGTTTTTGTTCTTTTCCTCTCTCTCAACTAAATTCATGTACGATCATCTTTCTTTTTTCGTCACTCTTATCTTTGTTCTTAGTCTGCGGACATGTCCCTTCTTTTTGCACCTTTTATTCATTATTCTTTTCGCCCATTTTATTTAATAAACTGTTTTTTTTAACGGTGACTTATTTAACAATATGTATAAACAAAACGGAGGGGTCCACAGAGGCAAGTGATAACAGCACTGCTTATTAGAACTCACGCTGGGTCTTCACAAGAGCAAGTGTTCTGTTCGTTATCGAGTCGAATAAGGACGTGATTACGATTCGTATGGCGCCACGATTTAACATATGTTTTCCGTACCACTTTTCACATCTTGTGACGTCACCGAATATTGTTGGATATTCTATTGGAGTAGGTGGAAGGGAACCAGGACAATTCAAAACGTCAATTTACAAGAAAAATTTATTGAATAAATTGAATAGTCCTTAATAAACTGGACGATATTCTAAACCTCTGTCACAAGCGTATTCCCACCGCCAAGATGCGATATAAGTACCTTCGGTAAACCCTCCTGATACCACTAGTCCTTCAAAATTATCGGATATTTTCCGATAGCTTCGTTGCCTAGGAACGATTGTGTCAAATTTGCTTCGCACTCGGGATTTTAAACCTGCAAAATTTGACACACTCATTCCTAGGCAGGGAAGCTATCGGAAAATATCCGATTAATATTGAAGCACGAGTGGTATTTGACGGATTATTTTTCCACTCGGATTTCGGCCAAGCAGAGTGCAGTGAACAGCATCCGGATACATTTACACAGCCATACATTTACAACCCACTTTTTGTTGATCTGTTACACAGAATATTAAAGGTGAAATGAGTTGAAAAATGAGAAACATTTGAAAAGCTACTAGTGAATTTCCGCCGGGAATTTTGTAGAAATTTCCAAAATAAAACTGACAGCCTCAAATACTGCGCTCTGATTAGCTGAAATCCGAGTGAGAAAAATAATCATTGAAATTGAGTTTTATTGTTTTTAAGTTGTAAATGTAATCATTGAATTCAAATGTGGGAATGTGAGTGATTGAATTGGTGTCTCAAGCATAAGAGGCTTTATGGAAATGTTCGTATCTTGAAAAACGAGTATTGAAATACTCATATCCCAAAAACTGATTGAGAGGGAATTTTTTCTTTATTTCTCCCGCATTCCTGAGGAAAAATGATACGGAAAACGTGGGTCAAAAATGGCGCCACAGGAATCGTAATCTTCCCGCAAAAAATGCGAAAATATTCTTAATTGTGTCTAAATAGTTGTGAAATCTCTGAAGATATATTCTCCCACATTATTTAAAATCCAGATTTGAGATAACAGAATTAATAATTTCCGAATCAATGGATTTATCGTCATAAAGATGTTAAGTAATTTCCAGTCCTGAGTCGAAGCTGAATCATAACAGAAATAACTCGACTGTCCAATACATTCCGAATTGTGTATATAAAATCGATAAATCCCCCACCACACCACATTCCTGAGGCCGAAGACTGTGTTGGAGAGCGACTTATTTAGAATTGAAATTATTGTTTGCAATGATAAACCATTGAGTTTGATGTATAAATTATTGAAATTCATTTTGAGTCATATTGCATTATCGCAGTTTCTCATAAATTTACGTGTAAAAATGCTGAAGTGTCGTGTTCGCATGAAGAACCCTATCAATTTGAAGATTCGATTCCCTTCACACCTTACACCGATGAATAGTATATTTCGTTACGAGTGCGGAAAAGTGTTTTTTGGCGAGTGGGAGGTTTATACCACGAGCCGAAGGCGAGTGATATAATCCCACGAGCTAAAAAACATTTTTTCACGAGTTACGAACAATATTTTTCATCATAATGTGGCGGAAATTGGACTTTTAGGCACGCGGAGCGTGCGAAAAGTTCACTTTTCGTCACAGCGTGATGAAAACACTTTTACTGCCGTGTGGCACACGATATTTTATGCCTCGAGGACGGTTTTCCGTCCCTAGAGGCATAACAGAGTTTTTTGCACTCGCCTTCGGCCCGTGTTATAAACCTCTTTTGCGCGCAGCGTGATGAAAAATCATTTTTCATCACGCTGTGCGAAAGAGTAACTTTTTAGGCACGCTTCGCGCGCCTAAAACGTCCCTTTTCCCCACATTGTGATGAAAAATATCGTTCGATACTCGTGGGCAAAGTGTTTATTGGCTCGTGGGAGGTTTATAGCACGAGCCGAAGGCGAGTTACGAGTGCAAAAAACTCTTTTCCGCACTCGTAACGAAATATACTATTCCGTGTACACGATTTCCGACAAACGTGAGGAGTCCCCCAGCGGGAAGATCAGGTAAAAACCCTCAAGGATTCAACAATTGAAGGGTCAGTACAGGTAGAAATCCCAGGCCCCAACAAAGAAGACATAAATTTTAAGAAGACCCAAAAATCGCCCAAAATACGTCGTTTTTTCCATTAAATTTTGTGTAAAACTTATCAAATTGAAAAACAAATGGGAACACGCACGAAAAAATTTAATAGAAAAACTTATCGAATTCGTTAGAAAATTCTATTGAATTTCTATTAAACTTTCTATTAGTTTTTGGCTGGTCAACAGAATTCGATTTTTCTACATAACTTATTCTTTTCATATATTTTCTGTAGAATTTGCTCGACTCAAATTTTCGAAATTTTCTTCATTCTATTTTTCTTTTCTTCTCATCAAGAAAATCAAGCGAAAAAAATTAGAAAATTTGAGTCGAGGAAATTCTACAGAAAATATCTCAATAGAATAAGTTGTACAGAAAAATTTAATTCTATTGACTTTTTCTACTGAATATTTTCTATTGAACATTTTAATAGAATCGGCCAAAAACTAATACAACAGTTCAATAGAAATTCAATAGAATTTTCTAACGAATTCGACAGGTTTTGCTATTAAATTTTTTCGTCCGTGAGCCCGCCCGAAGGGTAGAGCTACTTTAAATATCCTTAACGTGAACCGCAATTAGCAAAACCACTAAATTATGAAAAAAATCTCTGCCGCCCCCCTGCCAGGAGCAAAAACCCCCGAAAAAAGGAAGCATACGAAGCCATAAAGAAAAATGAAAAGAAATCGGGCGAGAAAAAATTTCTCCTGATCCCATTCTTCCCCTCCCGAGAAACGAGTGCTGTCGACGCCACTGCTCCTTCTGCATCGCTTTTTCGTCTTTTCTGTCTCTTCGGCAAGTGGACAACTCAAACAGTGGGGAGGGGATAAAAATGCGCAGAGTGGTGAAGACAAGACTGAACTGCCTCGCCAGAACAGAGCTGGTAGTCCACACTGCGAGAGCGGGTTTTCGAGTTGATACAAGTGTAGCAACTAGTTTACAAAGTCGACGCATTTTTCTCACTTGAATCACGTACACCTGTTGCTCTATATACGTGGATATCAGCCTCGAGTTTTGGTGTCATATCACAGGCTAGTGTCTGTTTTCAATTTTTGCACGTGTAGGGAATTGTGTGTGGGAAACACTTTAGTCCGACGATTAAAGTTCATTTGAAAATTTTTTTCGCTCGCGTTTATTGCATTCGGCTTCGAACAAGTGCGCCGAGAGCTAACGTTTCGATTCTGATTTGACATTTTTTCAATACTAATATTATATTTCCGCGTTTCGTTGCATTTTCATATTTATTTCTACTCTCGTGTGAATTATTTCGAGTCATCACGGGAAACAATTGTTGAAAAATTAATAGAAAAATTATTTTCCAAGTTTGGAGAAGGGATTTTCGGCTGAAGTTTTATTGCTTCGGTTCCTCTTCGTATAATCCGGAGATAAATATTCAATAGTTAAATATTTACAATGAGTGGAGTGTGCGTTACCACCGATGGAGATAAGAAAATGATAAATGATCCTGACGAGCCGGGGGATTTGGAGCGTTCGGGGGGGCATTTTGGAACTCAAAACTCAACTCAATTTGGGACTCAAGTCCATGAAAATAGTGGGAAAAGTGGGAGACAGGATGTTTCCACGTGGGATGAGAGCGAGTATTCGTGCAACGATGAGACAGCGAGTGCCGCTTCATCAGCGAGTTTAGGGAGTCACGAGTCAAATGAGTTCAACGAATCATCTGGTTACAATTCGCCGGGTAATGAGGGGGATTTAAAGTGCCGGGTCGAGGGGGGGTTGGAGGGGTTGGAGGGGCTGTGCGTTGAGGATGGTTCCACGGGGGTTGGGGGTGGGAATGGCGATGAGGCGAGTGATGACGGCTGGGAGGCTGATGATTGCGCCGGGTTTTATGAGGCTGTGAGAATCGGGGATAGTAGGAAAGTCGAGGAGCTGCTCGGAGAGGGGGCTATTGTGGATGTTGATGAGCCCAATTGGAATGTTTCGGGGGATCCACCGCTACTTGTGGCTGCTACCAATCATTGTTATGAGGTTTTGAGGTAATTGATGGGTCATTTGCGCGCGGTTTTGTTGGCGTGGCGATGGGGAATTGCGGGATGCGGGACGCAGGATTTTTATCTGGAATTCTGCGCTGAGAGAAAATTAACAAGTTGTCAAACGAGTCTTGTTTGAAACAAAGCGCAGGTTGAACATTGTTGAAAGAAGAAATTGGTTGGGTTTAAGTGGAAATGGAAATAATCACTCTTTCACGCATGAAACAATTTAATACAAAAACCTAGCGAATTCGCTGGAAAATTCTATTGGGTTTCTGTTAAAATCAGGTTTTATCAACCATTATTAACACATTCCTCAGTTTGAAAGAGTAAATTATGAAAAAAATCTGACGATCCCTTCACAGAAGTAAAAAAAAAGAAAAGATGGAAAAAAATTGAGCGAAAAAAAATTTCTCATCTGATAATTTTTTTTCTGAGTGGACGGACTGGACTTCTATTGAACTTTCTGTTAGTTTTTAGCCGATTCTATTGAAATGGTCAATAGAAAAAGTTTTGTACATTCAAAAATTAAATTTTGTTGAGACTTCTTATTCATTCAAAATTTCTAATTTCTTCATTCAAAAAGCCTAATTTTTTTTCAAATTTTATGACATTAATTTTTTCGTTTTGCGAGCTTTCAAATTTAGTTTTTTTCATTTTTCCCAATTTTTTTAATTTTTTCATTTCAAAATTCATTATTTATCGACCACTTATGGACCATAAACGTGGACGTCCACATGAAAAGGGGCCACTTTGTCGATTCTAGTTTTCGAGATATTTACGTTTTTGTGTCAGCTGCTCCCATTTGCACCAATGTTAAATTGTCTTTTCCATCTTCTCCAACAACGTCATTTTTGACCCTATAAAGATAATTTTTGGCTGAAAATGTGCGGAATGTTATCAATATTATCATCAGAGTATACATAACACCATATCGACAAAGTGGTCCCTTTTCATGCGGACGTCTCCTAATAATGAATTTTGGAATAAAAAAAAGAAAAATTGAGAAATCGGAAAAAAATTTGAAACAAAATTTGGAAGAAAAAATTTTTTTCGATAGAACGAATCCGAGTCCCACTCTAATTTTTAAATATGTTTCGTAAAAACAGTCACTTTGGATAAGGGAAGAAAAAATCTTCAATCGAGGTAGGGTAAGGGGGTACCACGCACAATTTTAAAGTTTTTTTGCGATTTTAAAGCATTTCCGACGACGCGAGCTAATTGGCACCATGCTCAATCGAAAGAACGGAAAATTTCCGTCGGAAATACCTATTAAAAACCCGAATAAAAAATTCACCTCTGAAAATATTGCAATACAATAAGGAATGCATAAAAACGAAATTCCATTTATTTTTCTAAACAAAATATTTTCCATTGAACATTTCTATTGTACAAAATGCGCAGAAAATTTGCGGAATTTTTCAATAGGATCTGCAAGAAACTATAATTTTCAAGAGAAGTTAGAAATGTTTTCATTCGTATCTTCCACTGATAATATCTCTTTAATTTGAAGAGTACTATTGGCAAAGGGTTGCAACCCCGGCGCCCGTTCCCCGCGAGGTGAAACGGCGCTTCATCGTGCGATAATAAATCGTGGTCCATTCAAAGCCCGTAAATTCGTGGAGGAGCTTCTGCGACACGGCTGTTCTTCGGGTGTCAAAGAAGCTGGGGGTGGCTTGACGGCGCTCCACATGCTCACCCGTCAATTGGCCCACGCGTATTCATCGAGGGTCTCTCAAGTGGACTTTCAAGAGGCTCTCGAGACCCTCAGTGTTTTGGCAAAGGCAGGGGCTGTCAATGAAAGAGATCACCAGGGGCGGAGTGCTTTGCATATATTAGCGTCTTCAATCACATTTGGTAAGACGAACACATCTACACTGTTAGAAAATTACTCTTGAAATTTCAAGTGAAAAAGCTCGAAATTTTTAACAACGACAAAGTCACACGAAATTTCTGTGGAATTCTTCATTGACGAAGCAGTTAATTTCTTGAATATCCAAGTAATTCTCGATTTCCAGGTTCATACAGCACTGAAAACACGCACGAAAAAAATTAATAGAAAAACCTATCGAATTCGTTGGAAAATTCTATTGAATTTCTACTAAACTTTCTATTAGTTTTTGGCTGATTCTATTGACATGTTCAGTAGAAAACATTCAATAGAAAACGTCAACAGAATTCGATTTTTCTATATAACTTATTCTTTTCATATATTTTCTATAGAATTGGCTCGACTCAAATTTTCTAAGTTTTTTTCATTCATTTTTCTTTTCTTCTCATCAAGAAAATCGAACGAAAAAACTTAGAAAATTTGAGCCGAGAAAATTCTATAGAAAATATCTCAATAGAATAAGTTATATAGAAAAATTGAATTCTATTGACTTTTTCTACTGAACATTCAATAGAATCGGCCAAAAAAACTAATAGAATAGTTTAATAGAATTTTCTAACGAATTCGATAGGTTTTTCTATTAAATTTTTTCGTCCGTGAAACCTTGAAAATTTTGAAAATTCAAGCAATAACTTCTCTGAATTTTCAATCTATTGAACATTAATTTGTATGTCATGATCAGTTTTCAAGATGAGTTTGGAAATTTAAGCTTTCGTTGAAAAGTAAATGATTCTTGAACATGAAAAACCCAATTTTCTTGAATTTTCAAGATGAATGAGAAATTTAGCGAATGTTTTCATTTGAAATTGAATTCAAACTCACAACATTGAAAAATCAGATGACATTGTGACTGAAATTTCAAGAAATTCTAACAGTGTATGCATTTTCATATTCATTTCTACTTAATTCGATCGTGAATATTGTACCAAATTTTATAATGTTTTGAAAAACATGGAACATTTATAAATTCGTCGTTCAGTTCTATGGGACATTCAGTACGAAATTTCAAATTGCACTTGAATTCCCATAATGACAAATTAATTAGTCGATTAATTGATTAATTATCAGCAGTAATTAATCAATTGATTTAAAAAATGTTACACATTTTGCAGGAAAAAAATGTTGAAGTTATTTAAGTCAATTCTTATCAAAGACTGGATAATAAATAATTAATTCATTAAAATCGGTTCATTAATTAACCGATTGATTGCAAATATGTTTCACATTTGCCAAAATAAAACTATTGAACTGAGTGACATAAATTCTCAACGACGAATTATTAATTAATCCGAAAAAGATCAATAATAATAAATCAACTAAAATTGATTGATTAATTAATCAATTGATTGCAAATATATTCCATATTCACCAAAGCGAAACTATTGAATTGATTGACATAATTTCTTGTCGACTCATTATCAATTAATCTGAAAAATATGAATAATAATAAATTAATTGAATTTGATTAATTACTGAAAAATTTCCAAATGTTACGTATTTTAACATAAAAAAGCTAATGAATTCGTTGCCAACAATGAGCATCAACAAATTAATGAATCCAAAAGAGATCTAAAATAATCAACAGAATAAAATTGATTGCACTAATTGAAAAAATCCTCACGGTTTTTAAAATTCATTCATCCCCAGACAACTGCAGACCCGAAATTGAGGCTGTGATAGGAGCGCTGCTCTCAGCAGGGGGTGACCCGTTACAAAAAAACGATCGTGGAGAGACACCACTGCACGAGGCCCTCGAATTCGGGGCCTTGAATACAGCCGATCTCTTGATACCCCACACTCCAACGGGTTTGACGTCTCGCTACGGGGAGACCCCCCTGCACATTGCATCGAGAAAAAATTACCTAGAAACAGTGGAGAAACTCCTGAAGCGAAATGAGAACCCGAGGACTCAGGACGCAGGTGGAAATACTCCAGTTCATCTGGCAGCAGCCAGGGGTTATCATGAGGTCGTCTCCTTGCTGATGACTTCTAATCTCGTACAACTGGAAGTTACTAATGACGAGGGACTCACGGCCCTTCAGGTGGCAGCTGAAAGTGGATTCATCGATACTGTTAGAGTCCTCATCGATGCCGGAGCCGATCTCACGTGCATCGATGGCTCCACAACGATTCACCATCGCCATCCTGATATATCGGTTGTCATCGATCAGGAGAGAACGAAAAGGAATGCAAATCACACTTGAGAGACTGCTGGAGTTTAGAAATGGAATGAATATTTAGTGGAGACATCGATACGTATCAGTGTCTTTGGGTACCGCTATGGTATGCTCGAAATGTGAAAGATGAAAGTAAGTTGTGATGATTCGGTGGGAGAATTGGAGAGAATTTTAGTGTCGAAGGGGGAGGAGGGGATAGCTTAACTCAACTCGAAGATCCGTTCTTCATGAATTTTTGAATCTACACAGAGAAAAAAATTAGTTGTTGTCAGTAGATATCTCTGAATTTAAGAACTCGTTGATACTGAGTATTTGAGTGGAAAGGGCTGAAAATAAATAGAATTTTCACTTATTTTGTGAAAATTTTCTATAGAAAATCAGAGGAAAAGTTCTAATTCTCAATTCTTTTTACACAATTTTAGCATAATTATCCTCGAATTTTTTGCTACTCCAAGAGATTCTTGATTCTGTGATTCAGAACTTGAGGGGGTTTTGACCAGCATTCTCAAATTATGAACAGTCTCCTCCTTGAATTGATGTTCCTCCGTGTTCTAAAACAAATTTATTTATGTTTGTGTTCAACTTGACTGAATTAATGTTGAATTAGTGTTCAATGAATCGATAATTTTTTCCCTTCAAATGTTATTCCAGTAATTCTTGCTTTAAGAACCCAATAGTTCTTTTGGTCAGAAGTTTAACCAATTGAAATGAGTACATTTTTTGGGGCTGAATTTTAGAACTTTTTTTCTGCAATTGAGTTCTTTATTCTTAGTTGAATGCCGTTGAAAATCGTGAGTTATCAATAAATATCTCTCAATTTTAAGAAAATCTTGGTTCTGTAATTTAGAACTTTAGGGATTTTCGTGTAAAATTCTCAAGTTATGAATATTCTCGTCCTTGGATTGATATTCCTCCGTGTCATAAAATTAATTTATTCATGTGTGTTTTCGACTTGATGTAATTAATGTTGAATTAATGTTCAATTCTTCGAGAATTTTATCCCTTCGAATGTTCTTAGTTTGAAAATGCGTAGGTGCTCAATTTAGGAACTCAATAATTCTTGTTTAAAGAACCCAATGGTTTTTTTTTTCAAGTTTAATCACTTGAAATGAGTGTTTTTTCTTCGAGGTTGAGTTTTAGCATTTTTTCTTCTGAAATTGAGCAACCAGTTCCTTATTCTCAGTAGAATGCCGTCGAAAATCATAAATTAATAAATAAATATCGCCCATTTCGTCTTTGCTTTGATGTTTCTCCGTGTTATAAAATTAATTTATTCATTTTTGTGTTCGACTTGATTGAATTAATATTGAATTAGTGTTCAATTAGTCGAAAATTTTGTCCCTTCGAATGTTGTTTGTTTGAGAACGCAAAGGTTCTTAATTTAGACAACCAATAATTCTTATTTGAAGAGCCCAACGGTTTTTTTTCTTCAAAATTTTAACCACTTGAAATGAGTGTATTTCTTGGGGTTGAGTTTTAGAATTTTTTATTCTGAAATTGAGCAACCAGTTTCTTATTCTCAGTACAATGCCGTTGAAAACCACGAGTTTCGTATAATCAGTAACTTGATTCTGGTAACTAGAAAGTTTTTTTCTTTGTGATAAGAGAGATGGAGAAATGTTAATTCAGTGCACCTCTCATTTCGCCATGTAAAAAAGGTCCCCTTAGAAATTTCTCCATCTCCCACAGATTCGAAAACTGCAAAGTGGTAAAACTAACGAGTCAATTTGAAAAAATCGCCACTTCTCTTCAATTAAAACGAGATAAATCAATTCGACATGAACAAAATAACTTATCAATAAATATCTCCCAATGTAAGCGATTTTTTTTGTCTAAACACAAATGACTTCGCAGTTAAATTGAAAACTTATAGATTTTTTTGTAATTTTTATACCAATTTATTATCTATTCTGTTTAATGAATTACGTCACTAGGATACTGTTGATACTGTTAAAAAAATTGGAATTTCATGGACAAGTTGATAGCAATTTCCAGAGGAAAATAAAATTCGTTTTTAGATGGATAAGCTCATGAAATTCCAAATTTCAGGTAGAATTCAAGTGAATTCAAATAGTCTTTAGTAGAAAAGAAGCGGAAATTTCACAACTTACTTGAATTTCCTTTTCCTAATTTTCGCCGAATAATTGACCTGAAATTCCCAGTTTCCATTGATTTTCTCCTAAAATAATGCAAAAAACACTGAAATACATGATTTTTCACTGAAATTCCCTGGATTGTAATAAAAACCCAAAATCCCGTTCATATAACATTTCCATATATTTAATATATGTATAATTTCGAAATCAGGCACAAATTAACAAAATGATAGTGTATCTTCTCTGTTTTCTTTGGTGACTTATGTACAGTTAATTATGTATAAAATAATGTTACACTATATTGTATTACACGTTTACTTATTCTCACCGAATAATCCTGTATCTCCACATTATTAAAATACAACTTGGCATCCTCTATAGATAACGGCTGCATAACGACAGTAAAGTGACACACACAATCATTGCAAATTGCATTACACGGACGAAAAAAATTAATAGAAAAACCTATCAAATTCGTCAGAAAATTCTATTCAATTTCTATTGAACTGTTCTATTAGTTTTTGGCCGATTCTATTGAAATGTTCAATAGAAAATATTCAGTAGAAAAAGTCAATAGAATTCAATTTTTCTATACAACTTATTCTATTGAGATATTTTCTAAGTCTAATAGAATGAAAAAAACATGGGAAATTTGAGTCGAGCAAATTCTATAGAAATTATATGAAAAGAATAAGTTATATAGAAAAATCGAATTCTGTTGCCTTTTTCTATTACATGTTTTCTACTGAACATGTCAATAGAATCAGCCAAAAACTAATAGAAAGTTTGATAGAAATTCAATAGAATTTTCTAACGAAATCGATAGGTTTCTCTATTAAATTTTTTCGTGCGTGTACACTCGACATTATTCATCACCATTTTCATATCTCATTCCCTCTAAATCATTACTACATTTACATATTTGTGTGCGTTCCCATGATGATTATGAGTCAATTATCCTCGTAATTAATTGTCTCTAGTTCAGTATCGGTTCGTGAGGCGAAGCATCGCTCCTCATAGAAAAATAAAACTCTTGCCATCGCATCAACTCTCTGTCTCTCTCCCCAGTCCTCTGATCTAATAATTTCCATCACCCTAGCTCTTTTAACTTTTACATATACATCATTGGATTACGATTTTTCATTACTTCTAAATTCCATGATGCAATATTTTTAGGTCACTTTAAATTAATTATATCTTTGCACTCTCGTGTATGCGTTTTATTCCTCATTTTAATTTCCTCACATATTCTCATAAATATTTTATTCTCACCGGAGTTAAACATTCGTGGCAAATGACATTTCACAGCCATTGGATACAGTAACTGCATTATAACGCAGGTTATTCTTTATCGGCCAATACAAAATACATTGTTGCATCACACAAATATTTACAAATTTTTATTTTTTATTCTCTCGTCATTATCTTGACGTCGTCACATTCAACGAATTCCTTTCACATCGATTTGCCCCCGTGCAGTTCAGCAAATATTTCCAACTGCTCCTGTACAATATTTCGTTCTCTATCCAAATATTATTCTTAATGTCTAGTAATGAAAAATAAATGATAGTGATTTCTTTTTCTTCCAAATCATTGAGCCATCATCGTCGCTTCGACTCCACTATGTATAAGGCAGATAGACTAGTTTATTATGAATTTTTTCTTTGACATTAATACTGTCATGGTTGTGACACTCGAGAGATCGTGGAATATATCAAGAATGAACAAAACTGATGCGAATTATTTTCGTGTCCATTCGTTTCTTCAATTTTTTTCCGTTTTTCGACTTTTAATTGGCAGACGTCAGAAGTGAATTACGGAAATGTAGAGCAAATTTTGCGCCATGAATTTTCAGTTGAAAGGGGATGAAAAATCTGAGGGATAGCTTGCAATTTTTTTTATTTTTCTAGGAACTGGATGAAACGAGTTGAAGCGGATCTAAAGAGGAAGAAATAACCGATTCGTTTGTCTAATCGGCTATTTTTTCATTCGACTATTTTTTCGTACATTCCTAATGAGGATGAATAATTTCAAGAAATGTTAAACAAGTGGAAAATTGATTTCGTCACATTATAGTCAATATATTTTTGCTAATAAATTACCTATTTGCTTCCGAATTGAATTTTTAAATTTTCGAATCCATCGTTTAAATTTTTCCATCTCCCTTTGCCTGATCATTAACAGCGCAAAGTATTTTCCGCATTTTGCTAGGCTTTTTTTTACTCTCCAGGACTTTAAAAGAATGATAAACATTTGAAAAATGTCGTAATGCTTTATTCGTTTTGGATATATTCCGCAACCTCATAAATTCACACGAGTCCTTTTCTTAATGATTAATGAGTATTTTTCTTCTTGTGCATCTAGTTTCCTAACGGCCTTTCAAAATCTTTTACAAAAAATTTACTTTTTTTTAAATATTGTGGTGAGGGTATTTCTCGTCGATGCATCGTTACTATTTACTTTACGAAATTCGTTAGCTTCGTTCTTCAGGCGTAGTGGCCTAGTTGCTGAGCAATCGTCTGCATAATTTGAAAATTATCTCTCCCTATCTCTCTGAATGTAAAAATCAACTGACCTTCATGTTTGGAAGAATCGATTACTATGTTTCGTGTATTGATGGAAGAACATTGACAACTGATCGAACCAAAATCGCAAAATGAGAGCTATATAGACAGCACAATTTTGCTCATATACTTTCCATTGACGGTGTAACACTAATTGATATTTTATATCGTTGCAAAATTCCTCAATTCCAGTACGATATTTCAATTTTCACGCTTTCGATCGTTATTTGGCACCTATCTATCAACAGTCTCATTTCAAAACATTTCTTTTACATCTCTGAAATTTGGCAACTTCTTTAGATTTAGGTATGTAATATCAGTTGTACATTAAAGCTCGTACGCAGTGACCTATGATCTACATTTAGCTTTTCCGTTTATAATTTTCATCAATAGTCATTGTAACATGTATACACGAGTTTTTTTCTTCAGTTATATAGATCGCAGCGGCGCCGGGAGTCGCTTTGCGGCCCCTTCCGTAGCGCCTGATTATGAGGGGTGGAGAATTATGTGCGGATTTCTCCACGTGGAGAGAAGAATCGAAGGAATTAATTTCGAAGATTTTGGTAACTGCGGGTTTTTCTTTTTAATGAGTTGTTCTAGGAGAAAATGTGAGAACTTTTTGCTAGATCACGTATGAAAAAATCCTATAGAAACTTGCCCTTCAACGTGCACTTAATTCCCCTCCACCATCCTGTAATTCACCGAAACTCACCACAATTTTAACATCTCGACTGAATTTTCACCCGTACCAAATTAAACTTTACTTCTATTCTACCGCTTTCTACTATACTAACTCGCAATTTTTACTAGGTAACTTTTCAACAGTAAATTTTGAGTGGGGCGATGTAATACATATTATCAAGATATCATAAAAATTGAAAAATTATCGATCTAATCATAAAATGAAAATGTCGCGACTTTTTGTTCCTCTCCGTATCAATATAATTTCGCATTTTTCAAGCTGCAATCGACATTCAAGAATTTATCAGTTCAATTATAAGATTTGGATTCAAGATTTTGTAATAATCCTGGGAACCCATAACTAACAAGCTGTTACTATAGAATAACAAGCTGTTATTATAGAATTCTCCATTTCGAATTAGCATTTGAATTTATCCCGAGAATGAGTGGTTATAGACGAAAATGACAGAAAACGTTTTCTTGTGGATCATGAAATTTCCAGCAAAAAATATCTTCTGACATTTCTCTACAAAATCACTTATTCCCGAGATAATTGCACATTTATCAAGCTGTTCCAAATCCAAATTCTTCTTCTCCCATCACAGAATTCTCCATTTCAAATCACTATCTGAATTAATTCCGAAGCTGAGTAGTTCTATACATAATTACTTAGTATTCCTAAATAATTCAATTCTCTACAAAAAGTCTGAACATTTTTCCCTCAAACAACTCCCCACCGAGACGAATAAAATAGTCGAAGAGATTTGAAAAACCAACACTTATCATTTTCCATTCTTCTCTTTCACGCTCCAATCTCCCTGAAATTCTGTCTAAAACTCATTCTTTCCCGATTCTTCTCTCCACGCAGAGCCCAATGAATCCACCCGATCATAAAACCCTCCCACAAATCCCTCAATACAATCAACACTAAAAGCTACTAATTATACTAAGCCAGAACCCCTGGCTCACAATTATCTCTACACAGATAGGCCTCGTAGTATAAAATCTCATCCAAAATGTACTTTACATTAATTCCCCCATAATTGTCTGACACAATACGAGAGAAAACATTGAATCGTACCGTAGTACTACAGGCACATGCATCATCATCACTCCTAAATGCAGAATCAACCAAGTCGCGTTTTAATGTCTCACGCTTCAAGAGGCCACAATCCATTCATTTTTTTTTTTTCTAAAAACCAAAGACAAGGTTTTTTTAGTTCTCATAAAAAACCGAATGACACGCATGAAAAAATTCAATAGAAAACCTAGCGAATTCGCTAGAAAATTATATTGCAATTCTATTGAAAAATTCTACTTGCTTTTTGTGTTGATTTTATTGCATATTCGATAGGATAAAATATATAATATATTTTGAATTTCTGTTCGAATTTTTCTATCAATTTTTTTTATTAGAATTATTGGGCACAAATTTTCCAAGTTTTTTCTGCTGGATTTTGTTTTGTTTTGCATTACAGAATCCGAGTGGAAAAAAATTAGAAAATTGATGCCCAAGCATTTTTACAGAAAAAATCTCCAGATCAAAATTCAAACAAATTCGAAATCTATTGTCTTATTCTCATCGAATATGCAATGAAATCAAAACAAATAGAATTTTTCAATAGAGTGCCAATAGAATGTTCCAACGAATTCACTAGGTTTTCAATTGAATTTTTTCATACGTGGAGTGCAGAGACAATCTGCTTCCGTGGCCTCACGAAGAAAATCCTCTCAACATGAACCAAGAATTATTGATAATTCCATCAATGGAATTGAGATCCACCTCGTCTACAGCTAAAAAAATATAAAAAAAAAACCAACGAAAGAGTTTAACTCACTCACTGATCGAAGAGCTCTGCCTCGGAGAAGCAAGATCATTGATCGTAGAATTATGCCTCGTCTTCCTCGACCCCTCATTATCATTAACCCCGTTAGGATTAACAGAATGTGACAAAGCAGCTGTCTTATTAAAATCAATCGTGGCATACCCCTTTCCCATTTTGCTCGGTGACTCTGGTGGTGAAGGTAGAATGACGTTGCCCCCTGCATTATCCCCAGTCACCATGACCGAGACATTATTCTTATCAAGATCCAGGACGGCATAGTTAACTTCTTTGATAACTTCCCCAGGTGGAGTTGTCGGTGGTAACGAGGACTTATCAGAATTCACTGATATCCTCATTCGTAAACTCTCGATCTCCCCTGGCTCGAGGTTCTCGTAGCAGTGACGAGAATCGCGATCATCCCAGGGGTAATTGTCGATTTGAGGAGCTGGATGAGTGGGGGTTGACAGTGCTGGCAGAGTTGGTCTGGACCTGTTGGTCAAACTGTAACAGTAGGATTTTGTCAATTGAGTTTTTTATTTTTTTTTCCTTTTTGGTGTTCATATTAGACGTGTTCCCATACATGAGAAATACTGAATACGAAAAGGTGGGAAACGTGTGGAATTGAATCAATTTCACACCTTCTTTCATGGTAAAACCCCATTTTTTAAGTTTTTACCTGAAACATGACTTATGGACCACAATTTTCATTCGATTCAAACTTTTATTTTTTTTTAATGTTCGTTAGATTGCAGAGAATGCAATTGGGTATCCGTTTTTTTTTTCTATTTTGAAAAGATGATGAGAAAGTCCATTTGCTCATACTGTCTGAAAAAAATTTGTTTGGACTGATTGAAGATTGTGAAAGTTTGTAGAAGGTATTCAATTAAAAAAATTTACGTACGAACTGTGCAACTGTACTCAAAACAGCCTTTTTAGAGAAAATATTTTTTGATTTTGGGAGAACAACAGGTGGGAAATTGCTCTTGTACTGTATACAGTATAGTCATTTTTGCTAATAAATTAGCAATATGCTTCCGAATGGTTATTTTGTACATAATTTCCTTCTATCATGTATAATTCATTATTTATTTTATTTTATTGAATTCAATAAGATTTCCTTTTACCTAATTTAGTCAGATTTTTAACTTAGTTGAATGCTATCAGCATCATTATTGTTATTATCCCTTTTCTTCTATACAACCGATTGTCTTTTTTACAGTTTTATCTCCCCCCTCAGCCCTTCTTCTTCAATTCCACATGAATATATCCTCTGTTCTAATAGAGGCAAGCATCAATTCTCCTCCAACAGATGTACTTCGGTTTATTTAATAATCAAATCATGTTTCTATTTCCTTTTCTTTTTTCTGTTTCGATCACTGCTCGTCTACAGTCCTTGAGTGATGTAAACATTGTCGATGGCCTTGCAGATGTTTTCGATTTTAGTTATTTTGAGTACTAGTAGTCTTAATCTAAGGAATTCCTTTGTGTGTCCCTTCATGGATACCTCAACCCAAAATATTGCGCTCTCTTCAAATCTCAAATTGAGATCAACGAATAACAACAATGAAAGTTCCAGAAACCGGTTCCACAACAATTAAATATTCATTGTCAGATTCAATTATTTGGTATACTCAAACTGTACACGCTTCAAACAATGCACTTCAAGAAATCGGATGAACGATACAACCACACTTTCGGTTAGGGCGTTCGCTGGCGGTGTCCAAGTCTGCTATTAATTATTGGAGAGCCAATGATGGAAATAAAGAGGTGAGAAAAAGAAAGGAAAAGAAAAAGAAGAAAGGATCGATGTTAGGAGAGGATATTTCGGATGTTATGATAGATATCCTATAACGGAGCAGACGAGCGACCGTCCGGCTTGGCGTCTCCCAGCGAACTCCCCCCTCAGCCCTTCGATAAAATGTTGATAAATGTTGATAAATGTTGATAAAAGTTATCTACATATACTTGAATGAATTTGAAATATCACATTTGAAGAGACCATGATAAAGTTCACTTTCAGGGAAATTCATGAAAAATTCAAAATTTTCAACAATCATAAAATCCAAATCAACCAATATACCTATCGTAATCATATTTTAAATTCGACTCAATGGCGTCAAAACAAGCATTTTAAGTTATGATTGAATTCAGTTGAAGCATGATATTCACAGATATTCAAACAATACGAAATTTTTGAAAATTTTCGAATAAATCAAAATAACAGTTATTGCATCGCCTTCATCTTCGAACTCGGTCAAAGAGACATCCAAACAAATTTTTTAGGCCATCATTCAACCAATTCCGAACATTGTTTTTAGTTATCCTGGCACGATGGATTTTCGAAAAAAATCAAAAATTAAAAAACCTAATCGATGAATTAAATTTTAATTAATGGTGATAAATTAAATTAAATTAAAACTTTACCACACACATACGTACGGCCACGGTCTAAAAATTGCATTTTCAGACTTTTAGTATCATAATGGGTCGATATAATACAAAAAATCCAAAACTTGATTTCGAACGATTAGAATGCTTCCATTCGGCACGGACAAAGTGGCGAAACTCCCCCCCTCCCATAAAGTCATAGAAATTCATTTTTACTGACCTGTTTATGTGGAGACTCTCAGTGACATTATCGATGCCTGGACTGATGTTCATGTAGGCATGACCGACGTTTCCAGTATCTGTTTCAGAAGTGTCTTCTTTCAGAGGCGTTGATATCGAAATACTGTGCGATGGTGACAGTGGACTTGCATCACTGCTAATGTCGATGTTCATGTAGGATGATACGTTTGGAAGGGGTGGAGGTCGGTTGTGATGGTACTCCTGGGTGGATTGGGTTGTTATGCCGATTGATTCTGATATCAATCCACTGCTGGAGGTTGTGCTGCTCATTGTGTAAGACCTTTGCATTGTTCTTCTGAGGCTCTTGTTGTTATTGTGCTCGAGTTCCATGGTGATGGCTGATAACACCTCTTCGTTTACGTAAAGGGCTGATTGGCTTGAGGGATGGGACAGGGAGGGCTTCAGGGATTGGGATGCTGTTGTCGTTGGGGGTGGGGGAGGTGGTGGCAGTGTCATTGGGGACAACGGGGGTGGGGAGGGTGAGCCCATTGTACCCTGTGGGGATATTGGACCACTGCTGCTACCAACACTTCCTAGTCGACCAAAACCATTTTGCTGGCTGTGGGGAAAACGTGCTGCCATGCTTATTCGGGAGCTTGAACGTATTGGCGTGGGGTCGAGGTAATTTGGCTCGCTTGGTATTGTCATTCGGGTTATCGTTGGACCGGTGTGCAGCGGCATCGATAAGTCACGGGATATTGCGTCCTCTCCGCTATTGTTGCAATCCTAAATTAATGGAAATTTTATTTGAACGGATAAAAATGAATGAAAATGGCATTAATTGGCGGGCTTTGTTGGAGTGGGATGGGCTGATTGTCTATTTGTCTTGGGAAGGAGAAGATTCAGGTAAATATCCGTCGAAGATGACTGTTTTGAAGCTGAGGAAATTTACGAAAAACAGGGTCCTGACATTTTTTTTTTTTTGAGAATTGGTATTTATCGAGAAAATGATACAATTACTGATTAATTGATACAACCAATTGTGAAATCCAGTACTGAAACGCAGAATTTAGAAGTTATCTGAAAGACAAGTGTTGACAAAATATTTGTCAACAAATTCTTAAACCAATCGTAAAGTTTATTATTGCAAGAAACTTTTTTGTAGTTGACTTTAAACAAGAAATGCCTTCTCACATTTAATTTAGTACTTTGCAATCATTTTGATAACGAGTAAGTTTACAGGGAAATGTTTGAAACTCTTTGAGCTCAGGAAATTTCCGGAAAAACTATTTATTTTTTACATTCTTCTCGAGAACTGTTCCTTATCGTGATAATTACATGTTTGTGAGTCTGTAATAAAACCAAAGAATGTCAAGATGTCTTTTTCGTAATTGCAAAAAGTTCCAAAAATTTTCAACAAAAAATTACTGTTAATGTTTTTCGTTCAAAATTTGTAGTGCTCAAGAGAATTTCATATTACTCAATTTGACAAAAACGACTCATCTCATATCACAATAATAATAATATGAATTCTTAATTTGGGATAATTCAGGGGGTTTGGATGACGTATTATACTGCACCTGAATATTAGTTTGCACGAGATTAAACAGTTGATCAGCTCGTCGGCACTTAAATGCGTAGATGCCAGGCCCAGTGGAGCATCTTCTCCCCGATTCAAAAGTAAATATCTCCGAATCATATCCATATCGCCTGAGGCATCTCAACGGCCACTTGACGGCCTGTCTGCCACGCTGATAAAGTACAATATCAGATTCCGTAACTTCTAGTCTACCGGGTGCTATGGGATTCCCTAAGTCATCGACATTCATCACTTGGAATATGTTTGGATGGAGATCATTGATGTCTGCCCGACTGTTGACGCAACCCATCCTTTCTGCATCTTTATATCAATTAAATAAAATTATAAAGTGACAACTAATTGATAGGTATAATTAGTAGTAATGACCCGAGAGCTTCAAAATGATCGTCAGATTTTCAAAATGTCAGGTTTTGAAAATTTAAAAATCGCGAGCGCTTGCGCGAGGGATTTTTTGCACAACTTGGCACGATCGTTTGTTTGCAGAAAAGCTTGAAGGAAATATCCGATTAATTTTGAAGCTCGAGGGGTATTTATCCGACTATTTTCTACATCATCATTTCGATAAATAGAATTGTGGTATTCGGTGTCATCGTAGTACATTCGCCAATTGTTTGTTATTCTGCTGGACAACGGGAAAATTACCGAACGACGGGAAATCATCATATTTAATACGACAAAAGCTTCAAAATTATCGAGCATTTCCCAATAGGGTTGTTGCAAACAAACGAAGGAGTCGTTTTTTAGCCTGAAAAACTTGACGACTTCGTTCGTGTGCAGGGAATCTTGACGCAAATACCCAAATAAATAGTCTAAAATCGCGATCAATTTTGGCAGTCGCTAGTCACACAACTGCGGGAATCCCCCTGGTACAGTCCAACTGACTAGTCCGTTCCCTTGGTTTTCAGAGGTGGGAGATATGGATGTGAGTGGGAATTAGGTAAAGTAGGGGTAGCGACGAGGGTAACGGACGGTATACACTGATGGAAGGATTAATTATTATTAACGCATGGATTTGGTTGGAGACGAGGGTCTATTCGGTCTCACCAAATGTTCATTCGTTAATAGTTAACAAATGCACATTTGAGGGGCCTTGTTTGACTCAATTCTCACTTTTCAAGTGAACCACCCGTTAACTAGTAATGAATATTCATTTGATCATATTCAACTCTACCATTCTTTAACAGTTAACGAATCTTGTTTGGAATGAATGAATCGGTCTATCAGTGTGGAGTAGGTTCAAAAATATTCCACGGAGGACGTGAGTAAGGTAGAGAGTGAGACACGCAGAGGATGAGACAATGTTGTTTGAGTGACTCACGCAAGAGAGAGTATAGTAGTTAATGCAGGGGTTCTAGAGATGTAAGTAATTCACGCAGGATATTTTTATTCGGAGTTAATCACGCAAACATGAGCGGGGAGAGGGGTTCACGCAGGTAATCCGCATGGGGAGGACTGGGGTCATGTTAAAATAGTTTTGATTCAAAGTGATTCACGCAAGAAACCCAGGACCCACGCAAGCGTAGAACGCACGCAGATGATTCGCTGGGGGGAGGGAGGGGGGAGGGGATTCACGCTAGCTATGCAGAATTCACGCAGACGATCCGAGTGCTTCACGCAGTACTTACATAGATGAGAGTGATTCACGCAAGGTATTTTTATTTACGGAGGACCTTGCTATGAAAAAATTCTATAGAAAAACTCAACGAAATCGGTAGAAATTTCTGTTGGAATTCTCTAGAAATTCTTTTGGGATTCTATTAAAATACTAGGGAATTTGTGTTAAAATTCTAGCTGTTTTTTGAGCTGATTCTATGAGATATTTGATAGGAAAAAGTCAATAGATTTCGATCTTTCTATATGAATATTCTCTTGGAATTTTTTCTATAAAAATACTTGGGCATGAATTTTCTAAGTTTTTTCCACTCGGATTCTGTAATGCAAAACAAAACAAAATATGGTGGAAGAAACTTGAAAAATCCGTGCCCAATAATTTCAATAGAAAAAATCTCAAGAGAAAAATTCCAACCGAAAAATCGAAATCAATTGCCTTCTTCCTATCAAATATCTGATCGAATCTGCGCAAAAAACAAATAGAATTTTAACGAGAATTACCCAGAATTTCAATAGAATCCAAATCGAAGTTCTGAAGGATTCTAATAGAATTTTCTAACGAATTCACTAAGGTTTTCCGTTGAATTTTTTAATATGTCTTAGCGTTTCAATGAATTTTTCATCGAAATGAACCGCACGAATTGCAATTCTACGGGTATAAATCTGTTCCGGAGAGGATATCACAAAGATATAACCCTTCGTTAGTGCGTTTCTAACACAAGGTGAATGTACCAATGGGGCTGGGGTAATAAGCCACCCCAGTGTATCCGTAAGAGCGTCCTGGAGATGTACCCCCAGAGGGGGAACTTTAAAATCTCGTTTGCTTTTTTCACCTAAATCTCCGAATCTACTGTAGCTATAAAAAAATGTCAAAAAATCTTTTCTGTGCAGAATTCGATAAACTACAAAAAGTGCCTTCGACATTTTTCCCCAAATCCCCTGGTTTCGGAGATAATTCGACTTTCATCACGACAAAGCCATCAAAATTTTGTCCCAAACCTGCCCCAATGAAAGTACAAACAAGAACTACTCAACACGATGGAGTGAAAAAGAAAGAATACCTCAGGGCAAATAAATTGACTCAATTTAAAGTAACAATTGGCACATTGTCACTTGTTGAGGGCTGACACTATGCAAGATACACTCACCAAATGCGACATATCCAGTGCATCACAACCAATTGACAATCAAGACTGTTTTTTTCGCAATGATCGTATCATTTCATCTGTTGTTATCTCCATAAAATAAGATGGAGTCAATAAAGCTCACTTTTGTTAACCTAATACAATCATAAAATTCGTTGAATGACCATCAGTCAATCGTACAGTTCTGAATACACAGATTTCATTGAAGTAGAGCAACAAACTTCAATTGTGGACGACACAGTGATGCACAGTAACAATTATTCGCTTGTTTATCCTCAGTCATCTTGGCATTACTCAATTGTTTATTGGGACTTATCACTGAACCATTGTTTCCACACGTGAACTGAATTAGTCATCGAGAGAAAATGGCATTTGTTCTCGGACCCTTCGTTGTGTTTTGGTCTGAAACTACAATTGTGCTTTTATTCCACAAGAAAATAAACTACCTAACTACCCCTCACTACCCCACCGTCGACTGTTCGGAGCTAATTTCTATCAATCACGAATTACAGAAGTGTTACGGAGAAGAACTGTCATTTTTTATGTTTTTATCGAAGGACGGGGCTGATCGCGACATCTCGAGCGACTGCTGCGCATTATTACTGATGTTTTGGTTCAGTTGGTAATGCAGGAGGCAGGAAAAAAACATGGCACACTGTCATGGCCGTCGAATTGTTATTGTTTACGTAGTGAGAAGTTAGTTCAATTGTGCAAAATTCATTGATTAGAATATTTATTATTTCATTGTGATTTTATTTCTATGGAAAGGGATTAGAGAGTTGAATGGGAGAATGGGTTGTAACGATGTTCGAGGGTGAGAGGCAGGAAAAATTGAGTTTTGAATTATACTGGCATTATATTATTACTGATTATTATTACTGAATAGATTGAAAGTGAGAAAATGAGAAAAATGACTCAGGAATTAATTTTTGCTTGAGTGACTCTAAATGTTGAGCAGCAGGTTTTATGTGAAGAGTTTAATTTGGATTGAAATTATAACAAGTTAAAGTGATCGTACTCGTGGCTATTGTTTACATTCCATAAATTAGTTTAACATCTCAAGGGACTTGAGAAGGGAATGAAGGATGAGTATTGTACTAAGAAGGCGAGTTGTTCAATAGAAATAAATGGGGCGCTTTATTTAGTTTTACAGGAATCAGGTGGTTAATCCGAACAATAATAAAAGACACAATCCTTCATTCCATTCATTTAAAGTATGCCACAACAATATGTAATAACAATAGTCGATGCTGGAGAAATAGGAATTATTGAAGTTTGAATTGTGAATTATTGAATTGTGTTGTCACAATGATAACTGAAATCCTCCGGAATAGATTGAGAGTGAGAAAATAATAAAATTGATTCAGAAATTAATTTTTGCTTGAGTGACTCTAAATGTTGAGAAGCAGGTTTTATGTGAAGAGTTGAATTGGGACTGAAATTATAACAAATTAAAGTGATTATACTCATGACTATTGTTTACATTCCATAAATGAGTTTGACATCTCAAGAGACTTGAGAAGGGACTGAAGGATGAGTATTGTGGTAAGAAGGCGAGTTGTTCAATAGAAATAAATGGGGCGGTTTATTTAGTTTTACAAGAATCAGCTGTTTAATCCGAACAATAATAAAAGACATAGAATCCTTCATTCCATCCATTTATTCTTTAATTCACATTTCTAAGAGAGGAAGGGGATATTTATTCATTCAAAGTATTCTACAGCAATATGTAATAACAATAGTCGATGTTGGAGAAACAGGAAAAATTGAGCTTTAAATTATGCCGGCATAATTATAACTGAAATTCCTCCGAATAGATTGAGAGTGAGAAAATGAGAACATTGATTCAGGAATTAATTTTTGCTTCAGTGATTCTCAATATTGAGCAGCAGGTTTTATCTGCAGGGTTGAATTGGGGCTCAAATTATGACAAGTTGAAATAAACATAGTCATGGTTATTATTTCCATTGCACAAATTCAATTCACTTCAGTTTATTGAGTCACTTGTTAAAAAAAATTCTTACACGTTATGATACAAGTTTTAAAATAAAATATACAATAATATTATTGGAAGTGGCTCCAACTCTGATCCTCACATACCTTATAACTCTATACACTTTATACTCTATGTTCAAACTGTACGTTATTGTAGAGGGACGTGATCGTGCGCATGCGCCGATCCCGTCCCAAGCCGTTACCGTGGTGATCACGCCACATTCGTGCTAAGCAGGGTTCCCAGTTTGGGTGACTTATCGCCGATTGGGCGATTTTGAATGTGCCTTTGGCGCCTTATCATGACAGTTGGCGACTTGGCGATAATTTGGCGATTTTTGAATTTTGGCAACAAAAAAAAACTGTAAAATGAAGAAAGATATTCCCTGGTCATTTGAACCTAATTGCATATATTTTCGATTTTTGGAGAATGATAGAACCGTGATAGAACAGTACATTAGCACCACGTCTTATTCAAATTACTATTTGCTCATATTAATCACCCGTACAGACACTATACATTGGCACCTTTTGTCGCCTCGGTAGAGAATTTCGATTACTGGCGGTCTGCGAGTAATCTACTGGGAGAGGTCAAAGACAACACACGTGGTGAAAACGTATGGGATTTTAAGAAGAACGATGGGTCGAGTCTCATCAAAAATGACAATTTTTTTTTCTTGTAATTGTAATTTGTTCATCACAACGTTCATCACAAAGATGTTCCTCGATTGTGCTAACTGAATAAAATTATTTTATTACATTGAACATACATCTATATTATTTACATTGGACTGGAAAGATATAATATATGGTAGCAAAGGTTTGAATGGGGGAAAAAAAGGTGGCGATGACGGTGACGAACATCATCCTCCGCCTGACGAAGCTTCATTCCGACCTAATTCTCCTGAAATGTCGTTTGAAGACAACAAGGATGAGTTCAGAAGGCTGATCCCCGAGCGATTGCTGCCAACTCCGATGATCGAAGATGACAAGAACGAAGTCAGGAAGTCGATCTTAAGACAGCGGGCTTCAGCGGATGCCTCCCAGACGTCACTGCATCATTCGGAGATCGAAAATGACGTCAAACCGCTGACCCTGGATGAACTGTTCTCGATCCTCCAGAGGCCGGAGACTCTCAAACAAACTTTACAGTTTCACGAGCTTATGGATCTCGCCAACGATCACCAGAAGATCCTCCTGATGGAGTTCGTGAACGGCCTCGTGACTGCGACCCGCACGCCCTTCGAGATATTCTTCGCGTGTCCGGTGAAATCTGGAAGAAGGTTCGTCATTCGTCTCCTCGTGGAGATCTACAATCGTTACGCGAAGTCTTCTGGGGATTGCAATGTGTATTCAACGTGTGTATCAACTGGAAAACCGACGATGGCGATCAACGGGGAGAAGGCTGTTCACATGGCGCTGAAGATATCGCTTCCCAAAATGCTTTCGCTGTCGGACGAAATGGCTCAGCAGTACCGGACGCTTTTCCAATTCGTGCAGGTGATCGTTAACGATGATGTGAGCGTCGTCAGTGAGGAAATTCTGGCGCAGATCGAGGCGAGGATGAAGGAAGCTACTGGTAGATTCGGAGATCGTCTGGGGGGGGATGGATGTTGTTCTGGTTGGAGACTTGTGGTGGATACCGGAAGGTCCGACTGCTTTCAGTGGAAGATTCTTCCGGCAGAGAGATAACTTTCTTGCGTGGCGCGGACTCAGATTTTATGAGTTACATAGAGTCCTTGAGAGAACCAATGAGATCTTCGCGTCAGTCGTAACGTGTATACTGGGGTCATTGAACGTTGATTCTTCTGCAGCTAGATGAAGAGATTTGTGCTGCTGAATATAGTTTGGATAATGGTCAGATAATCCTCAATGTTGTTTTGTACGTAACACGGGATCAGGGGGTGGATGAGGCGATCAATTTTCTGCACCGAAGGTTGTTTGCATATTCGATGAAGGGGGCTAAGATGCTCGGTAAAGGTTTGAACAGGATACCGATGATTTTGAGGGGAAACTTCAATCTGGATTTTGGTCGAGACGAGGCACGACCATTGGTTGATTTTTTGTTTTGTAAATTTAATTTAGTAATGGATAATAGTGGGACGGGTATTGGCGTGGTTTTTAGAAGACATGTAAACCAGCTCACGTCGAGATTATTTGTATCATATTATAGCTGTGAAGAACCTAGTGCTAAGCCTCCGAATAATGTACCAATGGAAATTTTTGAATAAACAGAGATTTTTTATACGATATTTTGAGATCAATCAATAGCATTAAAATCGTTTCCTATTCCTTTTCGAAATTTTTTTCTCAAAACTTCAACATTTTCGACTTTCTGCTGTTCGAAAATTCGAAACTACACTGAATTTTTAGTGAATCCTGAAATTTTATGATTTTTTTTCTCCCTAACTCGAATTCAATGTCACTCCCCTGAAAATTAATGGTCAACTGTCCCTGAAATTCCAATCTTCCAACACTGTAGCCTCGAAAAAATGTGATAATTTTTCATTCAATCAAGTCATTATCCCTTAACGTTTACTTGATTTCAATTAAATTTTTGTAAAGCAATCGTCCTAAAGAACATTTCAACATAATAAGTTTTACAGAAGAATAAAGATCTATCAATTTTTCTCGAATATTTTTATCGTGACAAAACCCCACGAGAAAACTACGCAATTTTTCAGGGGAAATCAGCAACATTGTAGCGCATTTCAAGAAAAAATTTAACGCGATAGGATTTTCTATTCCGTTTTTGCGCAGGTCTGTATTATCATACAGAAGATAATAAATGCACACTCCACAGTTGCGCCATAAAAATAAGTATAAAACGCGATAATGTTGGCGATCGTGTTCCAAATCAGGCAAATATTCGTTCAATATGAAGAAATCTGTGCTTCTTGCAATTTGGGGAGTTCTTCTGATACTGGTAAATCGTTTTATGATCAATCCCTTCACTCGGCTTTGTTAATATTATTGTTACATCTCGTTGATTCCAGACGAATGCCCTAGCTGATGGTTTTGCCATGGAACGATGGCTTGAAGTTTCCACTCGATGCGCTAAATCTCTTAGCGAAGGTAGTTAAAATCCCTTATTTGACAATATGAAAGTTTATTTGATGTTACAAGGAGGGGCAACGGAGGTAGACACAAGAGAAAATAATAGGGAACTTGCATGAATTTTTTTCCATTTTCTAATCTCAAGTTTGGGACCTGAATAATTCATTTTTCATTCGCAAACGATTAGTTACATTCGCAAACGAATACACTGTAAAAAAAAATTCTAATATCTGAAACATATTTTCTTGAAACAAGTAAATTTTTTTCAATTGCTTAATTCTCAGGCATCTCAACTCACATGACCCGAGAAAGGCCTCATACTTTAAAATATTCTTGTACTCAAGTATGATTTTGTCGCAAATGAACTTAATTAAATTGCGTAGAAGAATCGTCAATCTTCTAGTTTTTATTGTTTTCATGATGTTTTCGTTATGCACTTTCAATATTGCAATATGTAAAATATTCATGACGTAACGCGAAATGATAGTGATGAATGAAAATTCATTCGAGTTCCGTGAAGTGCACACATTCTGAGATTTAAGCCATTGAAAATAATTGACTTCTCTCAAGAAAATGTTTCAAATATTAGAAATTTTTTTTCTCAGTGCAGAATAGTTAGACAAAAGAAAGCGATAAAAGGCGAGCAATTGGGGGGGGGGGG